TTGCCTATGTGTTGGACTCCCAACCTTTATATTTGGGGATGGAAAATTGTTTGAGAATAGGGTTTTCCTTATCACACAAATGAGACCATATTGGTGTAGGTTCTCAACCTGTGGGTCACGACCCCATTGGGGGGTCGAAAGACCCTTTCACAGGGTTGCCCAATTCAGTAGCAAAATGACAGTGATGAAGTAGTAACAAAAATAATCTTATGGTTAGGGGTCCCCACCACATGAGGAACTGTATGAAAGGGTCGCGGCATGAGGAAGGTTGGAAACCACTGGTGTGGGGTTAAGTCCTCCACCAAACCTTTTTTTCATGATAAAATGAGCCCTTAAGGCACCATGGGAGCAGAGGTGAGGAAACAGAAGGAATCAACAATGTTCAGACCATGAGTCGGGAATAACTTGAAAAAACGACATTTCTGTTCATTAAAGCCACCCACCTATGGCATTCCTATTAGAGCATTTCTAGAAACTCAGACAGGGGCCATGCCAATAGTGGGGTGACATGTTGACTTAAAGGTAAAGAAGGTTTCATGTCGAACTTTTCCAAGTAATTGGGGGGAAAAATACCCACTATGAAGTAGTCCAGAAACATAGAGGTGCGTGCTTGAATAATCTGCCATGTCCCTGTGGCTCCAGTCTGCCATCAGAAGGCCTGCCAATGGTAGGAGCGGGTGTCTTCAGGGATTGCCACCGTCGGAGGTGAGGCGGCTACCTGGACTTCCTTGGCAGTGGCTACTGTGCTGGATTGTATAGCTGATGTGGTGCGCCCAGTAAGGACACATTCAAAGCGCTCAATCAGCATGTGTGTCTCAATGGTGTCCCTTTTAGGAGAAGAATCGGTTCCTTATCATTTCCCTATCCCTGCAGACTACATTATCGGTCACTCATTTTCTTGACATGGAAATATTTTTCTTTCTTCTATCTTGAACCATACTACTACTCTGAAATATGGTTTTCCTCATTAGAGTCCCACTATCTTCCCCTGGAGCTGGGATTTCCATGGTGCTGTGGGAGCTTAGACTATCTCAAAGCCACCAGCTTGTGACAGAGATGAATTTGGGGACAGGCAGGACTTTCTAAAATGGAGTCGTGGTGATGTGTGGTGTGTGGGGGGAGGTGTCTCTGTAGCTCTAAATATTCACACGTTACAAAACAATACAAAAATGTGTTACACATATTTTCCCTGGCATGGACACTCATCAGTGGAGAGAAGAAATAGCAAGGCAGGAAGCACGGTGGAGGTGAGGGTGGGGGTGGGAATCACAAACAAACAAACAAACAAACAAACAAACACAAATTCACTGTTATGGAGCCAGTTCTGTGTCATGGTAAACCTGTGGGCTTCCAATATAAGCAGACAGGCTTCATCTTTCTCCAGTGAAGTCACAGGTGGGTTCAAACTGTTGACCTTGTGGTTCCCAGCCCAAAGTAGAACCCACTACAAACCAGTACACCACAAGGGCTCCTCGGAAAGCCAAGGCCTGTAAATCTAACTCTGTTCCCCTTTAAATCACCCAACATATCAACTTTGCTCCTCACATATACCCAGAACTTAGAGCATGTTTGTAAAGACAATCCTGTATAGGGGCTACCCCCTAACGCAAGACTGAAATCTCTCAGTATCAAACAACACAGCACAATGACACCAAATTTACTAAAAACACAATGATAATAATTAGATATCTGCATCTTTGTTCTTCTAAAGACAACATCACCAAAAGGAAAACTTCACCAGAGCCTTTTGACCACTCTCTGGTAGAGTATAAGTAAATGATTTGATAAACAACCGAAGAAAACATGGCATTTCAAAAACCAAGCAGCACAGTATATATTAACACTGGTAGCAAAGGCAACCCCAAATGATGGAGACAACACCGTTTGCCAATCACTAGAGAGAATATTGCCAAATGCTTTTCTGAAAATACTTAGCAGTTTGAAATTTTTGTGTGCATGTACCCGGTTTTATTATAAAAGCATTAAGCCCAGCCAGCGGTATATATTGTGCCCCAACTAATACAATGCAGAACTAAAACATGGCAGGTTTGACTGCTGTACCTTCCTTTAATCTTCTCCCACAGACTTCAAATCAGCCATGAGATGAGCTAAAACCTGTAGCTCTCGATGACACAGAAATATGTAATTCTTCCCCCAGCTGACAAAATGCTCGCAATATCAGCATCGGCACTGTGAATGTGTGCTATTGATATGAATCTCTGAAAGGGGATCTGTCTGTTGTCATGACTTATAAGAAATGTGCATACCATGCATATATTACATGTGCTGACTCTCACATATTTGATGGATTTGTGTGCGGAGTCAGTGCAGAAATCAGATCATGGAGCGGGCTTGGATGAGTGGCAGCAGAGAGCACGTGTTCTTTTGCATGACCTACTTACAGAAGGCAGCTTCTCCCAGTCAGGTGATCTTCAGCATGACAATTAGCATCCACCCCCCACCCCCCTCCACCCCCCGCCGTTTGGTCAGCAGGAATGACACAACCCTGCCCCCAGCACAAGTCGCGCAGCCCTGCTGGATTCCTGCTGTCTTCTGGGCAATGGCATTCCACTAGGAGGGTGACACAGTAGGGAAAGAGACCGGTTCACTGTGAGACCTGCTACTCACTCTCGGACAGTGTATCGGCCCCCCTTCCCACTGCACAGAGGATGCCAGGCTCTGGGCAGGACGCTGTGGTGCTGGTCCTCCTCCGGAACATGAACCCGGACTCAAGGTCGGCTGCACTGGCATGGACTTCTTTCAAAGACAGCGGGTTTTAGGATGCCACAGATTTAACAGATCCGGACTTGCTACCCTTGGAACCAGGGAAAGACCTCACTTGGATGTAAAAAGTCACTTGTTGTTGTTGTTGTTTTCAATTTTAGGGGGTGGCGGGGAGCATGGATTAAAGGATATGGGACTGTGACTGTCCTATTAAAAATAAAGGAAGAAGATTTACAGAAATAATGGAAATGTATCAGAGTTGTGTTTAGAATGCACGCCTGGACACCATTGTCTTGTACCTTGTATTGTTCCACATACAAATCAAGTGCTTTGTTTTCTGCCTAGAATAAGAGAGATGAGGCGATTTAAAAGGCTAAGGTTGGATACTCGTTTGTTCAGTGAGGACAGCTACGAAAGCACCTGCACCAAGTTAGAAGAGCAAACAGGAAAGAGATCCCAAGTACCTGCTTGCTGTGCTGTCTGTGGCATCTGCTGGTTCCGCTGAGCACTGTACTGAAGGGAGGCCATGGGCCGGTACTGCGGTGTGGTTGAGGTAGGGTACTGACCAGATGGGTAATAATACACGGACATCTGGGGAAGAAGAGAGCAACAGGGATTGAGAACTGTATGTAATGGAAATGTTTAAAAACACTATGAAGCGAAGATAGAGTAGGCCATCTTATATGCCTGTAAAAACCCTCCCCAAATCTACCCCCTCTGCACGGATGTACGGGTGTGCTACTCCTTCCGTGAAAAGGGGAAATCTATGCCCCAAGCCCTCAAAACTGAGCCGGCACTGCCATTTTATTTGCGCCATGCAAAGAGGGTGCAGCTTACTCTGCGGGAGGGAAACCCACCTTTAGATCAGTGGTTCTCATGTTGTGGTGACTCCCAACCATACAATCTTAAATTACTTTCGTTGCTACTTCATCACTGTAATTTTGCTACTGTTGTGAATTGGGCGAGCCCTGTGGAAGGGTCTTTCAACCCCCAATGGGGTGGCAACCCACAGGTTGAGAACTGCTGCTTTAGATAAACCCAGCCTTTAGATAAAGAAGTCCGTCCTCTCTTGCTGCGGAGAAATGCCCTGAAGAGAAGGCGAGAGTCAGCCCACAAAGTTCCAGGTGTGGGAATAAGCTCCAGTCTAACCAACTCAGAAAATACTATGCAGAACACACCCTGACCGAATCCTGATCAATCGCTTTACTATGCAGAACTCACTGACTGAATCCTGATCAATACAATGGTTGTTGTCTTTTTTCATTTTAGACCACTGCATTATGATTGTTTGAAATGCAGCAACAGCCACCTACAATCACCAGGGCTTGCTGGAGACAGTTTAAAATACTAGATCTGCACATATATTTTTAAATAAATAAGATGCCTCATTATTATAGATTGCATAGTGTATATCATTATTTTCCATTTTCAGGTCTGCTGTAATTATCTCAGGTGTTGTAAATCCTCACCTGTGTGATTGATGTTAAGGAGGAAGATTTTGAGGTCATTATTTTAATGAATCAGAAAATATTAAACAGGATTAGGTTGTATCTTGAGTCGATAGCTTTTAAGAAACAAAAGAGACCAAACAAGTGAGCAGAGATCAGAGAGATCTCAGAAGCACCAAGATAGAACTGGGAGCAAAGAGTGCCTTTTGAAACCAGCATCCCTGTGTTGAGAACCTCCTAGACTCAGGTGATGATTGTGGCCAAGACAGGTGCAGATCTCTGAGGGATGTGAAGCTCACAGATGTTGAAAGGAGATAAGGACCTTCCCTCAGAGCTGACAAACAGAGTTAGACAGAGTAAACAGAGTTAGCCTCCCCACAGAGTTAGAAGCCTGAAACGGAGGGAATAGATTTACGTTTGTTAAAGACTTTCTAAGACAGATACTCTCAACTGAGAAAGGAACCTGAACTGAGCTAAGAGGTATTTTTGAAGAATCAGGAAGATAAGACCCTGTGGGAGGAGGCTGGTGAGAAAGGGGGGGAACACCCCAAGGCATAAAACATGTGTGTTTGACTGACTATGGTAGAGAACTTGCGTGTTGCTATGATACTAAACAGATTTCAGAGGAGCTTCTAGACTAAGATGGACCAATCAGAAAGGCCTGGTGATCTATACCCCTTGACTCACAAGTATCCAATTCCCAACTGACCATGGGGATGGTGCCAGGAGAAGCAGTGTTTGGCCCATTAAACGTGAGGATGCCGAGGAGGGTGGAGGTGGGAAGGGAACTCGGTGGCACCTAATAAGAACAACACGAGTATTAAAATATGGAGAATAGAAATTGATGAGTGGATTAGAAAATAAAATAAATAAATAAAAAATGGAAAAAAATAGCATTTTTCCACTTGCCTTCTCTAAATCCCTGTTTGCTTTGTTCACGTGCTTCCTGCTTTAAGAAAGTATTCAGAACACATGCATAAAGAGCCAAGAAAGAAAAAAAAGAAAAAAGATTTTCCAAGCTTTTTTGTTATTGTTGTTGTTTTGTTTTCGTCAAAGCTTTTAAAACAGGGTCATTCTCTGCATACCTTTAATGCTTTTATGATATAGTCATGAGCTACATCTCAAGTGAGCTCTTTTAACAATTGTTCGATAAAGTTTTAAAATGGTTGCTACATTTAAAATCACTATATACATTATTTACTATATGTTTTCCTTTCGCTCACATGCATTTCACGGATGCCCAGAGAGATCATGAGCCATGAGTGCTTTTTTGTTGTTGTGTAGTCTTCCACCCCTTGCTGTTTGTAAAAGTATTTAAGAGGAGACAAAAGTAGGTCCGAAACAGACACAACAACCCCCAAATCAAACCCACTGCCCCCAAAAGGATTCCGATGCACTGCGACCCTGTGTTACAAAGTAGAACACTCAATGGAGTTTTCTTAGTTGCAACCCTTACAACTAAGGAGCAGATCATTGGAACGATTTTCCGTGGTACTACTGGGAAAGTCTGCCCCTCCAACTGTTAGCTTAGGAGACAAGCACAAACTATCTGTGAGGCCATAAAATATAACTTCACAGATGCCTAGACTGAGCATGATCCATGAACATCTGGTTTTGTTTTATGTTTTTCTTATTCCTTTCCTTGTTTTTCTATGTGTAAACGCACTGAAGGGGGGGGGTGAAAGTGATTCTGACGTGGGCACCCTCGGGGTTCTGAATTGCCTTTCTCTTGCAATGTACCAATATTGAAATCCCTTCCTCCTCAAAGGATTTTTCCTTTCTTTCTTCCATTTTTTTTTTTAAGACTTAAATGAAGGATTCTATCATCTCTTGTCCTTCACAACGGAAATGGGTAAAATACTTAGATGTTATTTAGCTAAATAATTAAAATTATTTCATCCTGATAATGACACTTGAAGTGCTTGAATTATTAACCAAATAATTAATGTATTAATAAAGCCCCTTCTCCTGTGATTTACATTATTTTTTAACATCTCCTAAATGTTCTACTAGCAACGAGATATTTTAGAGGAGATATTATAGAGAATATAATATTCTGAATTATTAATTAATCACTCAAACTAAAATGAACTACTGAGTGAGAATCATTGCCTGGTCTTGTGTGACAGGTAAAAAGAAACAATTTATTCAAGATGTTAAGACAGTGAAAGCCATGCCAGAAAAGTGATACTGCACTTTATGTAGCTTGTCTGATGCAATGCTTCATAATTAGGATGAGATTTACTTGGGATATATGTGGCTTGAAAATAGGCCAGAAAACACCTCTGTGCATTTTGCATCTTGACAGTAATCACTTCCAATATTCTGCAAGGGGTACCCAGGAGAGTACCAGCGATGTTTGGTGGTGAACAGTAACACATAATCAGTCTTTGAGAAGACAGTAAAAATCAGTGATCTGTGGTGTCTTACATGCTCAAGTCAATTAAATATGATTAATGGCTACCAGGGAGAGCACAAGTGAGCCCTGCTCTCCCCTAGGGAGAGGAAAGGACACTGGCTATCAGCTTACCTTCCTCCTTTATATTCATCGCAGCACTGGAGCACCAGATTAACTCCAGAAAATGCTTATGAATTGACAAAAAAGGAAAAGAGTGCTTTTTCACTAGCAGCAGCAAGAGAGGGTCAAAAGTCTCCGAGGTGCAGGCCCATCCTTTCCCCAAGGAAATTCCTAGCTGTCCCCTCAGTAGCACTTTGTATTTACAGGAAAGCTTCCCTGTGGTCTCTTTAGGAGCAGTTGAAAAAATTGGATATCCCCTTTTGAATCACAGAGAGTTGGGTCACCTTCATTACACTTACTCTCTGAGCTCCAAGACTTTGCCTATATGGATGAACAGAAGCACAGACCAGGCCCTGGCCATGAAAAACATCAAGAGGAGTCCGATGGGCATGGCAGATTGACCTGCAATGGTCTGCATGGAAGACAGACATCAACTCACCCAACCACTGCCCTAGAACTAATTCTGATCCATCAAACAGAAGAACCGAAACTCACTGCAATAGATTGGATTCTCATTCATAGCAACCCTGTTTAGACAAAGTAGACCTGCTGCTCTGTTGGGTTTCCGGGACTGTAGATCTTTGCTGGAGCAGCCAGCCTCATCATTTCCCCACCAAGTGGCTAGTGGGTTCAACTGCTCCCCTTGTGGTTAGCAGCCTAACATGTAACTCATTATGCTACCATTACTCTCTCACCACCATTGAGTCAATGATGACTCATAGCGATACCCTGTGGGTTTCAGAGACTGTGTATGGAAGCAGAAAGCCCAGTCTTTCCCCCAGGAGCTGCCCGTGGTGGTTTCTCCCTGCTGACCATGGGGATCCCAGCCAAACTCATAACCCTATGCTGCCAGGGCTCCTTAAGACCCTAACTGGGGTTGCTGAGGCTGTAAGTCTTTATGGGAGCAGATAGCCTCATCTTTCTCCTTCACAGTGGCTGGTGGGTTTGAAGCTAACTTTGAATTGAGCAGACCAAAGTGTACCCACAAGGGCTTCGGCATGGAGGTGAAAAGGCCCCACAAATCAGCTACATGTCGCAGGTGTGAGGGGAAAAGCACACATACCTGTGCAGGTGGAGGCTGTTGCACAAATCCCTGTGGTGGGGGAGGGGGCTGGAGGACTTGTTGGGGGATGGGTGTTCCAGAGCCTGAGAAGCCCCCTGGTGGGAGCTGCTGGCCAGTGGAGGCGATGACATAGCTTGGTTGTTGGGCTGGTTGTGGCATGAGGGATGATGGGTAGACAGGACCTGAGGGGGGCTCAGGGGTCTCTCCTGAGGACTGCCGACTCAGGTTCATCTGACTGAACTGTGTTGCCACATCTTCTCTCTGCAAATCACAGAGACATGGGAGGAGGTCAGCAAGGCATTAGTCATGTGGATGGACATCAGGTAGCCACAGGCCACATGCTTGCAGTAATGATAGAAGGAAGAAATACAATTTAGAAAATAAATAAATAAAGGAAATCAATTCTCTGACCAGTACTTTACAAGGGGAAAAAAACCCAAAAAAACAACAACCTAAATTAAAAAAAAACAGGTTTTAAACATCCTCAGGATCCTACATGGAAAGCAATTTGATCCAAATCTCCCACTTTCAATGGATACGAATGGATTGCTTTTTCCTTGGGAGCACAAGCTCCTCAGGTTGGTTCTGCAGAAGTGAACGTCTTTCCAGCAGCATCTGTCTGCACAGCGTGCCTTCTGAAGAGAGGCGGAAGCACCCATATTCCTTGCCATTTATGAATACTGCAGAGAAAGATGGAGCCAGACCTGGTGACACCGCCAGGCTGCGTGGTCTTTAATTCCCTGTATTACAGAGTCTTTGTTCACTGGTTTGGCCTGAAATTAGGGTCTTTACTGAGTCTTTAAGCCATTATGACAAAGGACTCAATACATTCGGGGGGAGGCGGGGAGCAAAAAGGGGCTCTGGAGTGGCAGGGGTACAGACTTCAGAATATTTTCCAAACCCTTCCACCTAGTTCATGATTCTAACTCAAAGAGCATTCATTTCCTGCTTAACCGGTCCACTCCTCGAGGGGCGCTCAACTGTGTGAGCATTAAACATAGGGCAAATGAGAGAAAGGAAATCACCATTTTGCAGAGATGGGCTGCAACGTTCATGGAGGAGACATTTATACACAACCCCATCACAGTCAGCACAGCATACCCACCCTGCGTCTGCCAGCCCTGTGCAAGAAAGTAGTACAACTAGAGCATATGTTCTCACAGGGACAAGTCATACACATGTAATACAGTACCACAGGGAAGTGCTGCGTTGGAGACACAGGCAGGAGATGCTGGGGAGGAAAAGAGACTGCTGGATATTGCACTGACTGAGAGGAAGCCTGCAGCCCCTGGACAGACTAGAGGAAAGAAAAAGCTGATCAGGTAACAAGAAAGCACTGTTGCATCTCACAGAAAGGCTGTGTTATTGGAAGCACGTCACTGTCCCTCAAAGGTTCTCTCAGTTTAGTGTGCTCCAGAGAGAGCCATCAGCCACCAAGTGAAATCACGGTCAGGGGAACCAGAGCCAGTCAGCCTGCAGGGAAGGCTCATTTCTGCACCGTGAACACACACTGGCCCCTGCTGCTAGACAAGACAATGGTGGTGGTTGAACAGCACATTGACTATAATTAATGTCATGGAATTGCACATGTAAGACATGTTGAAATGACAAAAATTTTGTTACATACCACCATTTAAAGAAAGAAAAGAAGTATAGTCATACTTTTGATGGCAGCAGTGGCAGATAGACTCTCTGGGTATAAAAATGTTTCTCAGGGACTAAGAATTAAAGAAAAACCAAAACAAAACCAAAACACACATTAGCAAGTGATTCATACTGGGCCACATTAGATCTCTGGATTTTCTCTTTTTATTCTATCCGTAACCCAGGAAACTCTGAGTGACGTCACAGGCTCAGCACTCAGCCCAAAAGTTAGTGGTTGGACCTTACTGAGCATCTCCATGGGAGGTGGCCTGGATGGTTTCCTCCTAGAAGGTTATAGCCTTGAACGCTCTATGGAGTAATTCTACTCTGAACATATGGGGTTGCCACAAGTGGGAACTCACTGGACACAAATAACAACACAAGAAAAGAGTATGGATCTACATTCCTCTACAAGGCATTTGAACAGCTGGGCAAGCCTTGGAGTTAACTGTTCTTCCCACCAATAAAGAGATCAATTCGGACCCAGAGGTATGAGCACTTGGACTGTGATGGGAATGGGTGGCGAAGAAGATACAAAAGACTGGATGCTATTTTGAGTTTAGCCTCAAGATAAAGGTTTCTTGATATATACAGCCAGCATTTATACTTAACTAACAAATGAGTCATACCCCTTTCAGTGCAAGTCATAGGATTGGATATAGATTTTTATCTGAACTTAAAGATTCAGATGAAATCTTGTCAACTGGCAAACAAAGGATGCTAAGCTGTCAGCTGTCACTGACAAGGCATGAGTGGATGCAGTGACACCTGTAGGAAGTGTACCCTCTCCCTGGTGCACCACTGCTCTGAAGCATGCAGTCTTCATCTTTGGGTATGTCCGCGCCCTGTTTTCCCTACTAACCTGAGTGACCAGTGGGCCCGCCATTTGTGGCTGTGACGTTTGGACCTGCTGATGCTGAGGCTGAGGAGAGGGCTGCTGCTGCGGGTGCTGAGGAGACGGCCCCACCATCGTGTTCCGCAGGGGCTGCTGGCTGGTGGGTGGGTTGTATATTGCAGGCGTTCCATCAGGATTCACAAACGGCTGGCCTGCAATAGGTTCAGAGGTTGGTCTGGTGAACTTCAATCTTCTCTTTGGCAGAGAGAACTACCCTGAGCGGTACTCTACAGTCACAGGACAAGACAGGAAATGTGGGAAACTGCCATCTGGACCCACATGAGGAATCTACTGCTCGTTACACTAGATGACAATGTAAGCCCAGCAATTTGAGAAGTAGTATGTGCATCCACCACCTTCAGGCAGACTTACCAAAGTTCAATGCATCCACTCACAGTGGCTCTCAATGGAAAAGGCCTGTGGAGAATCAATCTTCACAAAGCCACATGTTTCCTTGCCCTGCCCCTCATAGCCATCAGCTTGATAGCACACACCAAAAGATAACAGCTGCTTTCCATTTACATACTTTGTGTTCTGTTACAAGTTATTTAGCAAAGCAATTGGTTTGCTTCCACTATCTTGTCACCAATTCAGAATCATTGCTAGTTGCACAAATGTAGATATACTGAGAACATAACAAATCCATTTAATCTCTGCTCCAGATAGACATACTGAGGAGTAAAAAGGAATTTCAATTTCCAAGCTGATGAATAATAAATATCATATATTGTGGGAAACAGAAAGATTACTCCTGAGTCATCTCCCCCAAATATGTTGGACTTAGAACACAGCTTGCAGATAATGGTAAATAATTGTCAAGTTACTTCCCTGAAGGCAGTCAGCTGCCAGACGACTGTCTGGTCCCATCATGGTTAGGCCTGTTCCCTGCTGCTAAGGACATTGGGCTACTTCTTCCTAAAGGCTTGAGACCATTAGCTTGGTCTCTGTAGGTGGGGTTTACACCCTACTAATAATGGTTTCTATGGAGGTCCAGATAACAGGTCAAACTGGTTCAGTGACATCCAAAGTCAAGCTGCCATCCTAAATCTAGGATCTGCCCATCTTGTCACATGTATACCCCAATCCCTCCTCTTCCTATTGCGTGCATACCCCTAGATTGCCCCCCTCTCATTGCTGTATAACCTATAGTGCAACCCCTTCCTGTGATGTATGTCTTTATCTGTAATTAGTGGGCTTGCACTCCCCCAAAGGTATATAGGCCTGGGTTAGCAATAAAGAGCTCTCTCTCTGGGGCTCCCCTCCTGGCCTCTCATTGGTTCCCCCCTCCTCTCCTGTCCTAGCTCCCCTGGTCCCTTTCCCCTTGTCCTCCTCCCACCTCTCTCTCTCCACGTGGACCACCAAGTGAGATTGAGGTGAGCATTGCTACCATGAATTGTGTCTGACTCCCTTATTTCGATCTCTTATCAATCTCTCATGCTCTCTATGACTTTACTATAATCTTTATTTATTATCGCTATACAATTGGGCCTACCAGACCCATGATGATGTGTTAGGGGCTGGGTTACCCTGACAATAGATCCCTCTTATAAGAGAGAAACATTATTTTGTCTTTTTAAATACAGGTATGGTTTCACTGTTGCCACGACGACCGTTGATGACGGCATTGTGCTGTATATGAGCAGTAGGATAGATTCAGGGTGGAGCTACTCCTCATGGATACTGTTCATCTTTGGAGTACCATCATGACTCTGTGAGGAAGGGAGGAACCAGTTCCCCGTTATTCAGCAGGGAAAGCAACTTGACCAATGTCTGCACTTTGTTGTGTATAAGTAACAAAGTATTGCTACAAAAGCATAGAAGTTCTTGCTAAATAAAAAATATAAAAATATAAAACTATTGTTTTTCAACATAGCCTCTATGTAGGTCTATGTAATTCTGAAGCAGGTGTTGCTATTTTGCTAACACTTCCCCAAATAACTTTGTGCTCATTAATTTACACCATGTCAAAAGGCAATCTGGGCATCTTTGAGGGAATCAAATTATATTCTCTCTAAATGGTCCCTGAGTTTTGAGCACAAAAAAATGTTTGATCAGAGTTATCTGGTGGGAGGGGTCACATTTCCAAATCAAAGTCTCGTAGGGCAACCCTGGTTACCCTCAAAGAAGGAGCAGATGAAATGTCATGAAGGAAGAGAAGAAGTCAGTCGTGTAATTTTTCTGGCCCCACTTTGACCAGTGTGGTCTTCAATTTTCTTAAATCTTTATAATAAACTTCAAGTCTTATGTTCTTGATATAGATTTATAAAAATGCCTCCTTTGGAAGCCCAGCAAAACAGTCACCATAACCTGCTCTGTCTTGAAGTTTGCTGGCCTCTCATGTCCTTTCCAAAGGCTCTGCTTTGATTGGGCTTTTTTTCCAGGGAACCCTAATGAGACTAAGATACGTGTGTTACTGAGGCAACTGGTCTGCCATCATCTGCTGATCACAGAGACATGTCAAACATGTATGTCTTGGGGGACATGTATGAACTCTGCATGTAAGAACCTGAATGGTAAGCGAAATACTTTTTTGACAATCCCTCGCTATTTCAGATCTCAGTGAGAAGAATCAGAACGTGAAATGGGGCAGTGTGGGCAGACAGGTTGATGCTGTAGGGAAGTCATACAAAAGTCCCCCATGTAGAAAGCCATGTCGCTCGCTTTAGATTAGATAGGAAGTGTAATGGAATTGACCCAAGCCATGGTATTTTCAGTCATCTCTCATGCATGCAAAAGTTGGACAATGACTATGGGAGATGGGAGAAGAAACGATGCATTTGAATTGTGGTGCCGGTGAAGAATATTGAAGTACCATGGACTTCCAGAAAAAACAACAAATCTGTCTTGGGAGAAGTACAGGCAGAAGGTCCCTGTCATAGAAGATGGTGAGTCTTTGTCTCCTATAATTTGGACGCGTTCTCAGGCGAGATCAGTCTTCAGGGAAGCACATCATGCTTGGTAAAGGGGAAGTGGAAGTAAACAGGAGGAAGGCCCTCAACAAGTTGCATTGGCTCAGTGGCTGCAATAATGGGATCAAAGGTTACAACAGTTGTGAGGATGGTGAAGGACCGAGCGATGTTTACAAGAACAACAACAACATAACGCGGCAACCACGATACAATTCCTCATCATTACTGAGAACTCATAGGCCACGGTTATGTCTGTATATGCACTAAAAACCCTGAAATTCTACATACTCATGAACTCACAAAAACTAAGACAGTTCTGATAACCATTTCATGAGCAACCATAATGTGCTGAGACAAAAGCAACAAAAGCGCCAGAATTACACAATGCCTCATTTTAATGTTTTTCTTTTAAATGTTCGTCATATTCTAGATGCATCTTTTCCTGTCATTGTCATTTAACTTTAACCATGTTTTGTAGTTTTTGATTCTTTCTTTTGGCAAGTTTCTTATAGATTTAAATCCTGCAGCTCATGTTTTTTCTCTCTCTCATAAATGGCAATTTGTGGATGAATGAAAAGATGCTTAAATTTTCAAAATGCCATCACACAAAAATATACACACCCATTGGAAAGCAAAAATTAACTGGCTTTTCTATACTACTATTTACTTTTGATTGACCCCTGTGAGCAGTAAGAAGCTGTGAAGAATTGACCATAATTAGAAAGAAACACATAACTGCAAACGGTTCAGGCATCTGTTTTGATAAAGTTGATATTCTCTGCTTGAAATATGATTAATATTTGGTGGAACAAAGAATGCTCTGAAATAAGGGCATATGGAAATAAAGCCTGGAGAGATGGCAGGTTTTTCTGCAAAAAAAAGGGGGTATGAATGACTGATTTTTATGTGTTTCCAGGAGAGATGGAAAGAAAGAACTGGGAGAACTGAAAGAAGTATGATGGATGTCTGGGAGAGCAAACAACAATTTCCTAATAGAGCTAGGATAGGTGACCATTGGTTTCCAAGTCAGGGAAAGGCAGTCTTTCTATATTCTATGATTTCTTCCAATCGAGATGCAATTACAACTGAACACAAGCAATTAGTTTGAGTGACAGCTGCTGAAGACCTAAAGAGAAAGAAAGCATTGACTGGCCCCGGGTCTATTCAGCACGAAGAGGCATTTATGTCAGCAACTGCAGAAGCATGCCCAGCAGGTACTGGCATCCGTGTTGGCAGCAGTAAGGAAGGCGAGATGACAGAGGTTAAGACAGGGTGCCGTGAGCTCAGAGCCTGGGCAGAGGAAAAGATCAAGTGCTAAGCAGTTCTTCCTGAAAGCGTTCTTTAAAAAGTGAAGCAAGGAGTGCAAACGCGAGGTTTTCATTTCTTAGCCCTTGTTTTTGTCAGCGACGGTTGAATTGGCCCCCGACTGATGGTCACCCCATGCCCAAGAGAACAAAATGCTTTTGGTTGCAGGCCATTCTCAGGATCAGTTGTCAATGATACTGTTGTCATCCATTGGGGGCTCATTGGCTAATTTTTGGAAGTAAAAGAGTCTTTCTTCCTAGTATTCCTTAGTCTGAAAGCTCCACTGAGACCTGGTCAGCATTGTAGCAACATGCAAGCCCCCATTAACGAATGAGTGGTGGTTGGACATGAGATGCACTGGTCCAAAATTGAGCTCAGATCTCTCACACAAGTAAGAATTCTATCACTAAGCCACCAACATAACATCCCTTTCAGTCCCTTCCAGGGCTCAAAACCAAACTTCCTGCCATTGAGCTGATTCCAACTCATAATGACCCTCTAGGACTTGGGGAACCCTCCTGCAAAGTGGCTGGCTGTTTCCAAGCAGTTGACCTTGCGGATTGGGGTCCGAAGCATAATCACTATGCCACAAGGGCTCCTAATCCTTTGAAGGTGATATTCAGATGAAAAGAGAGCTGCTGGCTATGGGTAGAAATGACTTATGCCAGAGACTGCAAACAAAAATGTATAGCTAGTTCATATGATTTTCATCAGACACTTAACAAGATGAGAGCAGTTTAGAGAAATACTCTAAACTCTTTAAAATATAGGACTGCCATTTGGAAGTCTATCAGAAGGACTTGAAGGTGCAGTTCCCACAGGTGACATTCCCTTACATAACAGGATGACATTGAAGGGAAATGGGTGAAACAACATATACAGGGAGCAATGAATTCACGAGGGTGCCAGTGCTTGTTGGTATCTCCGGATAGGACCTGGCCGAGAGAAAACAGCTCAATCTAGAATAGCTTTCTATGCAGATAGTATTTGAAGGAGGATGGATGAAAGACATCTGGATAAAGGTCAAATCCAAGATTCTTTGCTTGCCTTTACTAGGATGAAGCCGTTATGTAAGGAAAACTTGGAATAAAAACCCTTTTGACAACTCATTGGCTTAGGTGTCTGAGAAGCAAGGGGTGTGGGGGAGGGGAGGCTATAGGGAATAAATACATCTAAAAATAAATAAATCAATCAGGGTAGGGTTGGGGAGTAAGGGGATCAAGGGAAGCTGGTATCAAGGAGTTCAAGAAGACAGAACATGTTTTGAAACTGATTGTGGTAGCAATTATACAATACTGCTTGATTTTTTGATATGATCGAACTATGGAATGGAATGATATTTGTAAGAGCTCCCAATAAAATGATTAATAATTTTAAAAAATGGAAAGATGGTAATGTGTTACAGACCAGTGGAGATTTGTGTTTGTATGTGGGGCTGGTTTCACTCTGCCAAATATTTAGTATTTAGCTTGGTTGTCAGAAGTTCAAATTCACCAGCCATGCTGTAGCAGAAAGATGTGGTAGTTTCATCCGTAAATTTTAACCTTGTAAATCTTGTGGGGGAAGATCTACTCCATCCTATGGGGTTGCTATGCATCAGAATCAACTCAACTGTAGTGGATTGAAGAGCCAAGACAATTGTGCTAGCGAAAGATGCCTCATTTTAATTTCATTTAGTAGATGCATGACTATCGGGCGCCTTAATGTTTTCAAATCATTGCTTGTCTTATTCTTGCTTGAAAGATATATTTTATTAATCTTAGTTTTTTTAATCATGAGCCATATTCTAAAATATATAGTATCAGGTGAAAGGACTGCTTTACTCTAATAAAAAAAGAATAATATGTAGTACATATTATTGCAATAATATGTAATCATTGAGTGTCTACATGGTGATTAAGACTTTGTTACACAATCCACTGAAACCCAAAAGACAAAGGAGCTTATTAATGTTCTAGGAACAGTGAAAGCAAACCAAGTGTAATTCACACAAGAAGCCCACGAGTCACATGCTCTTGATTCTTAGTACCAACGCATTTCTGCAGACAGGTATTTATGAAAGGGCGAGGGATGAGGATTCCAGGAGCTCATAACAATGCTAGAAATTAGAGATCGAGTTCAAATGAGACACATATCAGTCACCACCATACAGGTAATGCAGACATAGATAGATAGACAGACATATAAACATATAGATATAAGTACATATGTGTGTAATACCACAGATACATATATACACTTCATTTTGTTTCATTTAGTATATATGTGTGCATCTATATGTTTATATTATCTCTATAAGTATATTTTATAACATTATAAAATTCAATATGGGAGGACAAATATAGTAGTTCACTTTGCAGCCATTTATATGCAACCAATGTCTACAATATATTAAAACACTTTTCTTCTGGTCTAGAAATATTTTATTAACTAGTTTTTATCAGAACAGAGAGCTTTCCAACACCATTTTGGACCCTTTTTCTTATTTGGGATCCATCCTAGCAAGATATTTTGAGAACAGCTCTAAATGACTGGGTCCAGTGAATAAGAATTAGGACTTGGCACCAGGTACCATTCTCATTTCTTTTTCTATAAACAAGATTATTGATGATAATATACACACACAGGGACAACCTTGCTATCATTACAAACAACATTGCTGAATTTTACTTTAAATTTTTTAAAAAAACACAGTGATTTTGTTTAAAGCACACCATTGAAAACAAATGCTTAATATGTGCATTTGTCCGCAAGCTCTCCATCTCAATTAAAAGGGAAAGCTCTTAAGCCAAGGTCAGATCATGCTTTGTTCCGTGCTCAGAGTAATGAATGCGATCCTGATCTTTGATTTCCTTATGGTGTGTACAACCACCTCATCCCTCCCCAACTCCCACAAAAGAGAGAAAAGCAATACAATAGTCTCCTTAGAAGTATCTAATCTGAAGCTTTCAAATGGTTTTCAATAAAATAATTATGCCTTTTTCCCTCCAGCTTTCAGCCTTTTCAAAATGTCTCAATCAAGTACGCTGCCTTGAGAATGTGCCATATGTTTGCATGAAAACGTCGCAATTATTCAAGTACTTATTTTACTATTGTTATCATGTGTCCTTTCTGAATGCCCTCATCACTGGGCACACTATATGAGAGAACTTTTAAAGTTCAAGGAAAACTGGAATGAAAAGATGAAATCTCCCATGAACTTCTTGGCACTGGCCACCCTTCCACCCCTCCATGTGAGAAAATTGAGTCAGATCACTTGTATGAGGTTTTGCTCTGTTTGGAAATGTTCAGGCTTTGCTAATTGAAGGAGGGGTCTAGAACGATCCAAACCAAACCTTGGTTATATCCAGGCAATTCCATTCTTACCCAATCACTCATAACAAAGGTCTGGGGAGAAGGGATTAGTCAGCGTCAAGCCTCTGAAATCATATTTTCTTTTAAAAATCATGGTACTATTACGATACGGTGCTACCTAAAACAACTTGGCTGAATGATTTTCTGTTGTGTGGCAGGAGGTGTCCTGCACACAGTAGGATGTTTGCAATACCTCTGGCTTCCACCTGCCCTGGTATAGAAGTGGAGCAAAGGAAAGGAGGAAGACCTTCCACAGGATGGATCGTCATAGTGGCTGTATTGATGGGCTCGGACAAACAAACACAACGGTGAGAGTGGCACGGGGTGGGGCAGGGCTTCGTTCTGTTGAACCGAGGGTCACTGTGAGTTGGAACTGACTGAAGGACACCTGGCAAGAGCCACCACCACCACCACTCCCCTACGCTGTGATACTAAAAACTGTGTCCCGACATTGTGGAGCAGCCTGTGTGTGTACATCTATCTGTCTGGGTGCAAACTCTTCCTCAGCTGAGAAATGTTCACTATGAAATAGATGTTCTTCAGTATGCCGGATGATGTTAGAATCTCAGTGCTCTTCTTTTCTTGGGAGAGAATCCGTGTGGACGTTCACTAATCTAAAAACAAACAACTGATGGCCATAGATTAAGGACCTAAATGTCAACACCAGAGCCATGAAAATCATAAATAGGAAAATTGGTAGAAATATAAGAGCTCAGTTGCAGGGCATACATGGAATCCCAAATATAATAAAGAAAGCATACATAAAGGAAGAAGAAATGGATCCTTGAGACCTTTCTAATAAAGAAACAAAACATGCACATCAAAATACATTATCAAAAGGGTAAAATGAAAGTCCACAGATGGGTGGCACTACTCATCTTAACATGGCTAAATGATTAAACTACATGTTGTGTGAAACATTTGTCGATAAAATGATTTGAAAAGAGAACTAACTGCCATCTTTAAAAATATCGCAGAATGACCACTTTTCAAAGTTCTGTCCAAATCAATTTAAGCTCCAAATCCCTAAAACATAAAAATTTTATCACTGGCCCCTCTTTCTCATGCTAGTCCACTAAGAATTGAGCAAAAATGGAAAGTCACAGAGCAGCTTCTATAATCCCCTTATTGAATCCGACTCCTAGAATCCACTATGTATCTCAAGGGATAGCTTAAGTTCCTGAAATCTCTTTGATGCAAACACACTTCTGACGTAATGCAGTCTAATCAGAGATCTAGTCTGTGGGGGTAGGAAGACTTAATTAGCTCCTACCAGCCCCTTATAGTCATCTCTCTGACCTTGGCTCTTGGGAGTACATAATAACCACTATAGTCAGGAAAGAGAACAGTTAGGAAAATAGGTACTTCTGGGAAATATCTATGTGAATGAGTAAACTTATGGATATGGATAAGGCTATATAGAAAGATGAAATTCGAAACAGACCTAGAACTAGAGAGATCTACATATGTCTATAGACAAATAACTGCTCTCCCTAAACAAGCATGGCTCTCTCCTACTCAGAATTTCTCAGACATCCTGCTCGTGAATTAATTACTTCAAACAATTATGCCCTTGCCAAAACATAGGTAGTACACTCACTAACCTGTGTGTGGATTAAGAAGGATGCTTCCAGGCGGGATCCCTGTTGCAGCTTCCAGTGGAAGGAGAATATAACCGGTGCTGCTGGGAGCCACCTGCCCTCCCAGTCCATTCTCAGGATAGGGCACACAGCCCGCAGAACTGGCCACCACACCAGAGACCAGGGTTGCACTTTGGAGAGGTGGATGGGTGCGCGACAAAGATCCTGAGGAGCCTGTGCTGCTGGAAGACTCCGAACCTGGCAGAGACACAAGTCATCAAATCATTTAGCACATTGAGAGGAGGAGAGAAAGCGCAGCTCCTGATCTGCATGCAGAGTTTTATAAGCCTCATCTTTCAAGAATTTGAAATGCAGGCCACAGGACTAAATTAATGACTATCCCTCTTGTATGTAGACTCATATCTTATTGAAATTTCTGCTTTTTTGAGATGTATCACTCTTTTTTGGTTGGGGGGCAGTAAGAGGGGCTAGGAATGAGCACTTTCTCAACCTTCTCACCTGCCACTAGGGTAATACATTGGGAAATGGTACCCCACGTCTCTGAACTCCGTGCCTGAAAAGTCCCATCTTCCCAAATAATTAATGCCAGGGGATGTCTTACTGAGTTGGGACAATGGGAGCAAAGTGACTGAGATGGCAGTTAAAGAGACAGTAGCTTAAAGAGACGTCATATGCAGGTCATTTGCATGGGTCCAAAACATTCGTTCTCTAACACCCAGAAAGCGGACGTGTGAAGGCTCCTGGTTAATTTTTCATCTTTTCCTGTAAATGGCAATAGAAGTACTGAATCACCCCTATGGGAACATAGCTTTGCTGAGTGAACGAACTTCAAAATCAAGCCAGAAGCAGCACAGTTCAGGAGAATGTACAAAACAGTACAAGTCAAGGAGACATGGTCCAAGCCAGGATTCTAACTGTCTAACATTCTGGCCAAAGGCCACATTAGAGTGCTACAAACATGAAAGATGTAAGAAATCAAAGAGAGAACCCAGCACCTACCATAGGACAAACGTATGGTTCAAACCAAACCGAAATCCATTGTCTTTGAGTGATTCCAATACATAGCAACCCTACAAGACACAGTAGAATGGCACCAAAGGTTTCTAAGGCTTTAATCCATCAAACAAATCTGTCTTGAAAGGAATACAGGTAGAATGAGAGTGCCAATACCAGGAGGGTGGAGCGAGGGTGGGGTAGAGAGGGGGAACCAATTACAGGGATCTACATATAACCTCCTCCCTGGGGAACAGACAACAGAAAAGTGGGTGAAGGGAGACATCAGACAGTGTAGGACATGACAAAATAATAATTTATAAATTATCAAGGGTTCACGAGGGAGCGGGGAGTGGGAAGGGAAGAGGAAAAATGAGGAGCTGATGCCAGGGGCTTACATGGAGGGTAAATGTTTTGAGAATGGTGAGGGTAATGAATGTACAAATGTGCTTTGCACAATTGATGTGTGTATGGATTGTGATAAGAGCTGTATGAGCCCCAGTAAAATGATTTAACAAACGAAGAAGAAGCGAGGGTGATGAGATAACAGCTCATGGACTAAGGACATGTTATCAAGAGGGCCCAGGCCCCGCAGAAAGACATCACCCTTGGTAAAGCAAAAGATTACCCAAAAAAGAGGATTATAAAAAATGAGCTGGCTGCAACAAGGGCCCAAACATAACAGCAGTTGTCTGGATGGCCAAGGCCTGGGTGGTGTTTCAACAGGCTGTGCATGCAAGGGTCAGTCTGTTGAAGCTGAGCCAACAGCACCTACCAAGGACAAGCTTTACGAAAGCAGACTTCCACAACTTTCTCCTGGGTTCAAACAAGCGACCATTGGTTAGCAGCCCAATAATGTAACTACTGTACTAAATATATGGTAGGTATTATCATCATTATTAACATAATACATTTATATCCTTGAGATACTGTACTGTATTTTGCATAGATGCAGAACTATTATTAATATAGCTAATAGGTGGGCCTGGTAGAGGGGGGCTCTTGGTAACAATGAACCATTCTTCAGATGATGCAGAAGAGTGAAATCATGGGGATGGGAGTGGGTTGTGCACCTCACAAATATACACACCGCTGAAAGAGTGTGCAGGTCCCTGAAAGGATGCATTTAGCCTTAAGCAGTTCCCATCTCTCTCTACTTTGGACACTGAGAATCACCCTGCCTCGCTCCATTATCACAGTACTGACAACCCTTCACTCCAGCCAAAGCCAAGCAGCCCCAGGACCCTAACTATGGTGGCTTAGTGAATTGCTCATTAATCTGGACATCTGAGCAAAAGCAAAGCAGCCAAAGTGTCTATATTCATAAGTTCAACTAATAGTGGATTTGGATGGTATCATACCTATGTCGTAAGAATAGGAGATTTGTTAAATTCTTAGCATACAACTATTAATTTATGTCATAAAAGTACATTTTCTTGTATCACTCAAGGTCACAATATGTAAACATCCATTAACAGGTTCTTCAAGATTCAAAAATGCACTCTATAAAATACACTTTAGGCCTTTTTAACAGTGAGATATCAAATACAGCATGCAGCTCCAGACAGGAGGATGTGATAATTTGAAGAACGAGAACAGTGATAGTACCTGCATGAACACCTTTATAGTTACGTACTATAACTATCTTACAGAGAGGCAAGCTGAAGAATAGGGGGTCAGATCATTTCAATTGGCTCCTAGAGCTAGGTAATGGCACAGCTTGGGTTTGATGAAGCTAGCCTAAGCCTTAGCCACCACCTCTCATGGCCTCCCGAAAAGCATCTTTATATATCTTTACATGTCAGGGGCTGCCACAGGGTTCTCAGCTGGCACCTCCTCCTCTTTTCCCATGACTTGATTATTGGTGATGAGAAAGTCCTGGGGTGCTCCATAGAAAAGGTTCAGAATGCTCATGGGGTCTGAGGAATTATTAGGGAGGACAATCAAGGCTGTAAGAGAAGGCTGAAGATGGCCTTCCTGCTAAGAAGAGTTTTTAATCCATGTTGCTGACCTACTCTCAGGTCACAGTGCTAATACACCCTATCATATATGTTTGGGATTTGGTGCTGCACTCCATGTTGGACTGTAGTGCAGAATGAGCAATGACGATAATGACCGTAATGAGTCAATGGAACCTCTTGTCTCTTGGCATTTAGGCAACCTACCAACTACCATCAAATCAATGTTGACTCATAACAGTGCTATAGGACAGTATATAACTGCTCCCCAGGGTTTCTGAGGCTGTAAATCTTTACAGAAGGAGAAAATCTCATCTTTCTTCCATAGAGCAGTTGATAAAGTGGAACTGTTTCTCTGTGGGTAGTAACTCAAAGCATAACTTGCCCACGATGCCACCAGGGCTCCTTCCAGGAATGTGAGGTCCTGAAAAAGCAGTGACTGCACTGGTGCCCCAGCGGAGAATCCAGACAGGGAGCCAGAGTTGAGGTTGCTTGTTTCCAGGTGGGAGCAATTGCTGTCATGGTGGGTTTGGGTGTTTGGAGAGAGTTGGTTGATGTAAAGAAATTAAAAATTCACAGTCAAATCCCAAGACTGACTCATATTTTAGGAGATGTAATTAATCACTGATTCACGATCCCATTTCCTTCTATAAGATGGAAATCGGACACACACAGCTGCAGCAACAAAAAGAGCAAAGCTCCAGGCCAACAATGCCATTCTACAGAATGAACGAGAGAAAACACGTGAATGTGGGTTAAACGCCTAATATTCAGTCGATGGAGATGGGCAACCTCCTAGAAGCGATAGTTTAGCAATAAACATGCAGCCAGCACTTAGTATCTGGCCTTTGTGGCCAGCCTACAGCCAGCTTGTACACAGAGTGCAGACATCTGCCACATGGAATCAAGTAGAGAATCAATATTCTACCCATAGCCAACATTTCTTGATCAAAAACAATTTATCATAATGATGATAAAAGGCAAAGAATTAGGAGTATTCAAAGATTTAAAAAAAAAATGAAATCGATATTTGAAAAAACAGTTACCATAGCAAACACTGACAGTTAAGACGAGTTTCTGGTTTCCTTTTATTTAGGGGATTGCTGATAGCAATGCTAATGTTTAAAAAAAAACATCCAGGTGGTAGACCCTGTCCTGATCACGCCACATGAATTGTATAACTTCCCCAGCAACCACATTTTGAAGACGAGAAATACTCCCCTTATAGGCGGTCAGTAAGTTTCTCAAGCTCACTTACTATGTGGTAGACTCTGAGTACAAACCCAGGTCATTTGACTCCAGAGACCATACTCAAATATCTGCAGGTGTTTGCTTACCCCGGTGTGTTTAAGCAACACTCACGTGGGCCAAGGGCCCTGACCAAAGATGTGTCAAGTACTACGAGATACTGTAGAAAAAAGTTCAATGCGACTCACAGTGGGATGCTCAGATGTTAATGCTAGAGTTATAGGATAGATGCTAAAATGACAGGGGCATGATATTTGAGGAGCCAGGTGATAGGCTCAAAGAACACCAGAACAGGAAAGAAAAACGATAAGGAAGCAAAATGGAAGAGGATTGTTTCTGACTTATAGCAAGTCTATAGGACAAAGTAGACCTGCCCCTTCGGGTTTTTGAGACTTTACTCTGACAGGCGTAGGCAGCACTATCTTTATCCCAGTGAGTTCAAACTGCTGCCTTTGCGGTTAGCCGCTCAATGCAGTATCTACCACGCCACCAGAGTGCAATGGGTTGTACTGCTCACCACCAGGTCAGCAATTCGAAACCATCAGCTGGTCAATGCGATAAAGATGAGGCTTTCCACTCCTGTGAACAGGGGCCGTCTCCGAAGTGCACCGGTTTAGTCATTCGCATAGGGTTGCTATGGGTCAGAATCGACTCAAGAGTGATGCGTGTTGAGTTTAGGAAAAGATTGGGGGAAAGATCACAAGGTTGTGTCAAATGGAAAACAACTTCTCAGAAAGGGGGCTGCGCAGAAGAGGAAGGACACGCGGCAATTCCCTTGCAGTGAGGGGAGCACACTCCAAGATGAACCTTGACTTAGTAGCGATTTCTCCTTCAGAGACTGGGCAGCTTCGTTAGCGCTCAGTAGACTCCTTTGTAACGTTCAAGGAAATCTGCAACAACTGGAACCTGTGTCAGGAGTAACTGATGAAGGGAGACCATGCAGACATCTCCCGCAACATGTGCATCGGGCAAGCAGGAAGGCCGCGTCCCGTCAGTGGCAGAAAACTTGCAAGGCTCAGAAATACAAGGCAGTCCTGT